CTTTAGTCTGTTGTCTGTATCCATGATGCTGTTTCTATTTTGTTTGTTAGTTTATTTTGCTCATTAGATTCCACATACAAGTAAAATCACATGGTATTTGTCTTCCTCTGAGTGGCTTATTTCACTTAGCATAATACTCTCCAGGACCTCAGAAGTGACCGGGATTGAGAGATTGAGTGAAAAAGGTGAAGAGATTAAGAAGAAGAAAAAACCCAAACTCATATATACAGACAACAGTATTATGATAACTAGAGGCAAAGGGGGTGGAAAGGTAGAAGGGGATAAAGGAGGCTAAATGGTGACTGCAGGAGACTTGACTTTGGGTGGTAAACATACAATACAATATACAGATGATATATTGCAGAATTGTACACTTGAAACCTATGTAATTTTATTTACCAATGTCACCCCAATAAATTCAATAAAATTAAAAGGAAGAAGAATATACCTCAAATTTATGCTAAATTAATTCCAGTGAGATACAGAACTATTACTCCTGTAACTCTATTCCCTCTTACCCCCTTTTAGTGTTATTATTTACATATATATTACAAATTACATCTATATATGTAACAACCCCAACAATATATTTTGAAAGTTATTAACTTATATAATTTTATGTCTTGAAAGAAGCTAAAGGAGAATGAATAAATGTATAGGGCTTGTTATATTAACTTTCTGACTTACAATTTCTGGTTCTCTTTATTCCTATGAGTTCACCTTACTACCAGGTATCATATCTGTATTCTGTTATTGCTAAATATATCACATTTAAGTATGTCATGGGCCCTGCAATACAATCGTTGTATACAATTGTTTTTTAGATCGATTAAGAGAAGAAAAAAATAATAAATCTGCATTTATACTGTATTTTATAATTACACCAGTTAAGAGAAGGGAAATAAATCTGCATTTATACTGTCTTTTATCATTACACAATTCCCTTACTGGTATTCCTTATTTTTCCATATGGGTTTGTGTTACCATCTGAAGTCACTTGCTTCCTGCCTGAAAGTCTCCTTTTCTATTGTTTGTAAAGTCAATTTGCTAGCACTAAAGTTTCCTCAAGTCCCCAGACTGTTTCAATAAAATCAGGTCTTTGGGGGAGGACTTCAGAGATCTCTGTGATGATGCACTGCCTCTCTCCCTGAACAAATATCTCTGAGCCACTGCTCCTCCCCTGGGCAGGAGTGGTAGCCTGTGATCTTCCCCACGTGCCTCTCCCAGTTTGGAAACTCCTTCCTACAAGTGAGCCAAAGGGAGGGTGATCAGGCCAGGCAATCTCAGCCTGCTGTGCATCAGCTAGAGCCTTCACTCTGTGAGTGGGGCTGGGTGCATGTTGGGAGCCACAGGCTCCAGTGTCTGCAACTCAGTGTTGGAGGGGATGAGAAATACTGGTGCCTGCCTCTCCCAGCGACATACCTTATCCTGCTTGAAAGGGGGAAGAGGGAGCCACATCTTGTTTACCACACTCATCAGGAGCCAGGAAGGGGCTTTTGTCAAACTGAACTAGTTAAGAAATCCTGTAAAATCCAGGAACCCTCCCATTTGCTGAGCTTTCAGAAATTCCTTTTATGGTTGTTGAGTCACTGCTTTGTAGCCAGTGCTTTCGGTTTCACGTTACTTAAAACCCTTCACTTCTAATTAAAGTGTTTTCTGAATTCCAGAAAGTCACATCACATCAGAGGGAAAATAAAAGTCGAACCATCCAGTGAGAGGCAGAGAAGTAACAAACCACTGCAACCGACACTGAGGGGGAAAAAGGTAAGAACTTTATTTTCTCATCAAAGCAGCTTTCTCTCCACCTCTAAAGGACCTGTACTCTAAGAAATGGAGTCCAGGATAAGGTTGGGGCAGGGTGGGAAGGATTTACAAGGGTCAGTTCATTTTCCAAAAAACGATGAGCATGAGGATAAGTTGCAGCAGAGCCCACGTGGGACAGGCAGTGAGGTGCAATCCCCGTGATATCAGGTGGCAGCACATCCCTAAGTGACACTACTGTGCTTGGAGGAATTAGGCAGCAGCAGACATGGGGCTAAGCTCAGAGTTCGAAATGCATTACAATTGTCTTTCTCTTTTGGCCAATATTGTGGTGGGTGCAGACACACTTAAATTACTGTTGTTTTTATGGAACTTGCTCAGTTCTGATCTAACTGCAGCTGACACACTGAGAGGGCTATAAATATGTTATTTTCGTGAAAAAAGAAGCATAAATAATGAGATGCAGCGTAAACAGCCACCTGACACTGTTAAAAAAGAAGAAAGAAAAACCTGAAACCCAGAGTGAAAGATGAAGATTCACAAACACACCAGACATTTTAGTCATATAGATGAGCTTTGTTCCAAAGTTGGACTAGATTACTTCCTTTAGAAGTAACCCGTGTTCTGGTTGCTGGATGGAGGCTGGGTGAAAAAGGGGAAGGGATACAAATTGGCAGTTACAAAACAGTCACAGGGAGGTAAACTCCTGCAAAAAGAATATAGTCAATAATATTGTAATAATTTTGTATGCTGCCAGATAGGTATTAGACCCATAGACGGGATCCTTTTAAGGTATACAAATGTCTAACCAGTGGTTCTCAACCTGTGAGTCGTGACCCCTTTGGCGGTCGAACGACCCTTTCACAGGGGTCGCCTAAGACCATCCTGCATATCAGATATTTACATTACGATTCATAACAGTAGCAACATTACAGTTATGAAGTAGGAACGAAAATAATTTTATGGTTGGGGCACAGCATGAGGAATTGTATTTAAAGGACCAGAAGGTTGAGAACCACTGGGTACGCTGAAACTCATAATATTAATTGTCAGCTATAATTGAAAAATAACAATTTTTTAATAAAATAAAATGAAAAATAGCCCGTCCACTAGATCCAATTTCTTAGGGCCGACTTCTTTCTTACCCCTTACAAGTAGAATTCGGCCCCACTACTGTACTAAAAAGTTTTCTCTTAAAAGAACCTGCATTGCTAAAGCCAACATTTGGTTTACCTGACCTCTCTGTGCTCTCAAGCATTTTTGTTCTTGCTTTCTGGAAACTGCCTCTGAATTCCTTAGCTTGGCATGAACTTTACTCATCACCTATTTCTCTGACAACCCTCTTTCTCTCTCCTTTCAGCTCTTCCTCTCCCTCTCTCTCCCCAATTTTCTCCCTTCCTGTCTTCTTCCTGCTTCTCCTTCTCGTCTACCAAATGGAGAAACAGAACAAAACAGAAAACCTATAAGTGTACGATTAGAAATATATTTTCATCGAACAACCTTCTCCTTAGCTCTCCTGATCTTTTAATCCAGATTTCATAGTCTTTGGTTCCCTTACACCACACACATGAATACACAAACATGGTTTTTAGCAACATTCAGTATTTGCAGTTATGCAGTCTTACCCCCTTTTACTTGAGGCTAATTTTTTGTGAAGCTAATGAAGTTGAAGTATAGGGCCCCTTGCTTGCACAAGCCCATACCAAGGCTTTGGGCAGGTCCAAGTCATGTTTTTCCTACAGTCATACATTTTTATAAAATTTTCAAATGTAAGTTATATTAGTTCCACTTCCAGAATAGCAGTATAAGCAGTTCTGTGAACCTTCACTTCTGCAAAATAAGCACAACTAGTAGAAAAAAATACATATTTCAAACCTGTGAAAAAATGCCCTACCCAGTTTGCTCAGTGGTTAGAGTGTCAGTTCACAGACTGAAAGGTTTTGGTGAGGGCATATGCTGGAGGCAACCAATCAATGTGTCTCTCTCACTTCAATGTTTCTCTCTCTGTCTGTCTCTCCCCCTCCCTTCCACTCTCTTTAACAAATAATGGGAAAAAATCCTTGGGTGAGGACTGACAACAACAAATCTGTGAAAATTGTCCAAAAAGCATACATCAAATGATGAAACATATATTCACAAAAGTCTTTATTCATACTAGAATTAATGAATAAATATTGAAATTCTTACATATATCCAGGATGTAAACTACCCTCCAAATCCTATTCTATTTTACATTTACTGTCTAGTTTAAAATTTTTTAAAAAATATATTTTTATTGATTTTAGAGAGATGACAGGAGAGGGAAAGAGAGATGAAAACGTCAGTGATGAGAGAGAAACATCGATCAGCTGCCTCCTGTGTGCCCCCTACTGGGAATCAAGCCCATAACCAGAGCATGTGCCCTGACCAGGAATTGAGCTGTGACTTCCTGGTTCATGGGCTGATGCTCAACTACTGAGCCACACCAGCTGGGCTCTCGTCAAAAATTTTAATGATAATCTAAAAAGAAAGTTTTCTATGGTAATTTAAAGATTTTGTTCATGAAAGTGGTTAAATTTTGATATCCTTGTCATAACAATTTTTTTAAATGTATTTTTATTGATTTTAGAGAGGAAGGGGAAGAGAGAGAGAGAGAGAGAGAGAGAGAGAGAGAGAGAGAGAGAGAGAAAGATCAATGAAGAGAGAGAATCATTGATCATCTGCATCCTGCATGGATCCCCCTGGGGATCAAGCCTGCAACTTCAGCATTTGCCCTGACCGAGAATTGAACCATAACCTCCTGGTTCATGGGCTAATGCTCAACCACTTTGCCACTCTTTTTTTAATGAACTATTTCAATTGAACTTCTGTAACTTTCTAAAATAATACAAATCTTGCCCTCATCCATCTCACTGTTGACACAGAACTTTTGGCCACGTTGGGGAATTTTATGACTCTACCTTCTGGATCAAAATAACCTGGTGAAAGTTCTTGATCTGCTTAGAATGGAAATTCTAATCCACCCCATCTCCTTGCTTGCAGATAAGGTGACACCCTGGACATGGCCTCAGACATCCACATGCCAGGCCCGGTGTGCCTCATTGAGAACACTAACACGCAACTAGTGGTTAATCCAGAAGCTTTGAAGATCCTGTCTGCCATTACACAGCCTGTTGTGGTGGTGGCCATTGTGGGTCTCTACCGCACAGGCAAATCCTACCTGATGAACAAGCTGGCAGGGCAGCAAAAAGGTGAGGGGAACCAGCTAAGCTCTGCCAGATCCCTTCTGTCTACCCACACTCCCAACATGGAGTATGGTGTTACAGGAAGAGCAAGTTAGAGATGTAGAGGAATATTGAAAGCTAACTTTTAAACTATAGTTATGCTCTTATCTTTACTATAATCTGAAAGAGTCAACTAACTGTCTCTTCCCACTTTGCCTTAATTTCCCTTTTAAAAGCATAAATTTGTATTCCTTTCCTAGAATTTTATATTTAACTGGAGGCCCGGTGCACAAAAACTTGTGCACTCGGGGGGGAGGGGGGGTCCCTCAGCCCGACCTGTGCCCTCTCACAGTCTGGGACCCCTCAGGAGATAACGACCTGCTGGCTTAGGCCTGCTCCCGGGTGGCAGAGGGCAGGCCCAATCCCTAGGTGCAGCCCCTGGTATGGCTCAGAGCAGGGCCGATTGGGAGTTGGGGCACCGCCCCCTGTCATGCACAGAGCAGGGCAGATTGGGAGGTTGCGATGCCACCCTCAGTCACTCTCAGGATAGGGCCAATTGGGGGGTTGGGGCACCGCTCCCTGTCACACTCAAGGCAGGGTCGATAGGGAGGTTGCGGCGCCACCCCCTGTCACACACAGAGCAGGGCCAATCAAGGGGTTGGGGCGCTGCCCCCTGTCCTGCACGAAGAAGGGCCCATCAGAGGGGTTGGGGCTTCGTACCCTCTCACACACAGAGCAGGGTCGATCAGGGGTTTGGGGAGCTCCCCCCTGTCACGCACAGAGCAGGGCGGGTCAGGGGGTTGGGGCGCCGCCCTCTATCACCCACAGAGCAGGGCCGATCAGGGGGTTGGGGCGCTGCCACTCTTACACTCAGGGTAGGGCCAATGGGGAGGTTATGGCTCTACCCCGTCACACACAGAGCAGGGCCCATGGGGGGCGGTTGGGGCGCCGCACCCTGTCATACACAGAGCCGCAGGGCGATCAGGGGTTGGGGAGCTCTCCCCTATCAGGCACAGAGCAGGGCTGATCAGGGAGTTGGGGCGCCTTCCCCTGTCACAAACAGAGCAGGGCGGATAGGGAGGTTGTGGCCCCGCCCCCTGTCACACACAGAGCTGCAGGGCGATCAGGGGGTTTGGGCGCTGCCCCCTGTCACACTGATCCCAGTGCCAGGAGGCCTCGCAGCTCCGCTGATTCCTGTGCTGGGAGGCATATTACCCTTTTACTATATAGGATAGAGGCCTGGTGCACGGGTGGGGGCCAGCTGGTTTGTCCTGAAGGGTGTCCTGGATCAAGGTGGGGGTCCCCACTGGGGTGCCTGGCCAGCCTGGATGAGGGGATGATGGCTGTTTGCAGCTGGTCACACACCCTTCAGGGTGGGGGTTCCTACTGGGGTGCCTGGCCAGTCTGGGTTAGGGGCTGAGGGCTGTTTGGGTGACTGAAGGCTGGTGGGTGACTGAAGCTCCCAACCGCTCCTTTTTTTCTTTTTTTTTATTCTGGGCCAAGGCCTCTGCTGTTGAAAGCAGGTATCTGGTTTGTTTCGGTTCTATAATCGAAACACTGTATCATCTCCAGCTCTGAGATCCCGGCTGGCTGAAAGCTGGTTTCTGGGGTTTTGTTTAGCTTCTATATTTGTTACAATGTTTCAAACTGCCAGCTGAGAGGTGGGCAAGGCAGGCGGGGAACGTTGGAGTCCTCCTTCACTGAAGCAAGCAAGCCTCATGTTCGCTTCCAGCTGCCTGGCTGCTGGCCGCCATCTTGGCTGGCAGTTAATTTGCATATCGCCCTGATTAGCCAATGGGAAGGGTAGCGGTCATACGCTAATTACCATGTTTCTCTTTTATTAGATAGGATTTTTTAAAGAATCGCCATATCATTTTCCATAGCAACTGTAGCATTTTACATTTCTCCCAGAAATGCACAGGATTTTAATTTTTCCACATTCTCACTGCCTCTTACTTTTTTTTTTTTTTTGGAGTGATCATCTTAATGGGTGTGAAATAGTACCTCATTTTAGTTTTGATTTGTATTTCCCTAATGACTAGTGATGTTAATCATCTTTTTATGTGTTCACTGGTTATTTGTATATTTTCTTTAAGGAAATGTCTGATCAAGTAAGTCCTTTGCTCATCTTTTAATTGGGTTGTTTGTTTCCTGGGGTTGCATTGTAGGACTTCTTTATATATTCTGGATATCCATCCCTTAACTAAGAAATATTTTCCTCCATTACATAGGATACCTGTTAAACTCTATTGATAGTAGCCTTTGATCCATAAAAGCTTTAATTTTGAAGTCCAACTGATCTATTTTTCTTTTGTTGTTTATTCTTTGGTATCATATCCAAGAAATCATTCCAAATTCAATATTATGAAGCTTTCCCCCTACGTTTTCTTCTAGGAGTTTTATAGTTTTAGCTCTTACATATAGGTCTTTGAACTATTTTGGTTAATTGTTGTAGAAGGAAAGCTTTCCATTGACTGAGATGTTCGCTGAAGGCTTTTAATATATATGGCCTTTATTATGTTGCATTAGTTTTCTTGTCCTAATTTGTTAATTGTTTTTATAATAAAAAGGTGTTGAATGTATTTGTGTATTGGATATTTGAATTTCTCTGTTTCTCTGTAAATTAATAATGGTTCTAGTTGTTTTTTAAATATGTTTTTTATTGATTTCAGAGGGAAAGAGAGAGGGAGAGAGAGAGATAGAAACATCAATGATGAGAGAGAATCATTGATCAGCTGCCTCCTGCACACCCCATACTGGGAATGGAGCCCACAACCAGGGCATATGCCTTGACCAGCAGTCAAACCATGACCGCCTGGTTCATAGGTCAATGCTCAACCACTGAGTCAGTGCCAGCCAGGCAACTGGTTGTAGTTTTGTTTTCTCTCTTCTTACCTTAATTATGTTAACTTTTATCTCCATTTTAAGACACATCTGCTATTAAAACTCCACTCCCTCTCTCTCCTCTCCCCCTGAGGCTTCTCTCTGGGCTCCACGGTTCAGTCTCACACCAAAGGCATCTGGATGTGGTGTGTGCCTCACCCTAAGAAGCCAAACCACACCCTAGTTCTACTTGACACTGAGGGGCTGGGAGATGTAGAGAAGGTAAGCATTAAAGATTCAATTTGGGAACAATCCCTTCACTTCTGGGTATTATCTACACTATTTAATTTTTACTCAAATAAGAGCTGGCACTAAACCATATGTGTTTTTTTCATTTCTGTTTACGTGCTAAGAGACCAAGTTTTGCAATCAGGGATCATGTAAATATAAGGCGGAATCATAGAAGACTATAGTGGTCATTAGATAGTATTCTAATTATTAACAAGAGGCCGTAACAGTGATGGCAAACCTATGACACACGTGTCAGAGGTGACACGCGAACTCATTTTTTTGGTTGATTTTTCTTTGTTAAATGACATTTAAATATATAACATAAATATCAAAAATATAAATCTTTGTTTTACTATGGTTGCAAATATCAAAAAATATCTATATGTGACACGGCACCAGAGTTAAGTTAGGGTTTTTCAAAATGCTGACACGCTGAGCTCAAAAGGTTCGCCAACACTGGGCTATAAGCTAAGCCAGTTAACACAGATGCATAAAGGTACCACAAACAAAATCAGCCATGAGTCCCAACCTGCAGAGAATTTGAGTTAAGGATTAATGTTCAGAAGTCCTAAATTGTTTTTTAAATATAAACTCTGTCATTAACATGGTGGCTTTAGCAAATTAATTCACTTCTTTTACCCTCAGCTTTCTGATCTGTAAAACCGATGCAAACGATCTATATTTGCCTCATAGTATTGTTTTGACTATTTAATAAGAATGGAAAGTATTAGGTGAATAATAATGACTAGATAAAATAGCTGTAACTATTATTACTCTTACATAAGTCAATTTTGCTGTAAAAACATAGAGAAAATTAAATTACATTTAAGGCTTTAGAGTGCCCACCAATCTGGACTGTTTGTTTTGCAATTATCTGCGAATGGTCATAAGAGGACCTAGTGAGAATCAATGTAACCAAAAACACTAATCAGAAGACTATTCAAAGTCCAAGTCCTACTAACAACCATTTTCATTTGGATTTGTTTTCCTCTTATAAGTCGTTAATCTAAAAAAAAGCCACTCGACTAAATGAGCACCTGTTTACTACTGCTGATCTGGAAAGTGCCATGAGAATAAAACATAATCCTGGCCCAAATGTGTTCTGATTTCCAGGGTGACAACCAAAATGACTCCTGGATCTTTGCCCTGGCAATACTGCTGAGCAGCACCTTTGTGTACAATAGCATGGGGACCATAAACCAGCAGGCCATGGACCAACTGCAGTATCCTTTTTGTGGTCCAGAACAGCATCAAAATCAGAGGGGAGACTAGTACCTAAATACCAGCTCCCTGAATGTGAATCCTGGCGAATCAAGCACAAAAAGAGAAAGTATGAAAAATAATTCAAGGGCAGGAAGAATTAACATTTGGGTTAGAAGCAAAGCCAAAACAAAAGTTTGGAATATGTGGGACTAATATGGCATGAGGGACACTGTTCTTTTACACCATTTTTCCTTAGTTTGCTACTCAGCTATGTGACAGAGCTGACAGATAAAATAAGGGCAAAATCTTCACCTGATGCAAATGAGGTTGAGGATTCAGCTGACTTTGTGAGCTTCTTTCCAGATTTTGTGTGGACACTGAGGGATTTTTCCCTAGAATTGGAAGCAGATGGGCAACCCATCTCAGCAGACGAGTACCTGCAGAATTCACTCAAACTCAAGCAAGGTAAAGGGGACTGAGAACTAATTATTGGGAATCACAAGCCATTAGAAACCATCATCTTTTATTTTTCTATTAGTGTTTTTATATGTATAGTTTACTACTTCTCAGCTTCCTAGTTCTAAGAATTAATGCTTGTTTAATATCTAAATTCATAGATTTGATTTTGAATTATCTTCTCCCCTGTTATAAGAATAAATTTCTTTTTCTTTCATTTTTCCCTGTACTGTGATCAAATTGATTTTTATCTCCCTGCTTAGGGCTTATGATGCTGTAATTAGCCAAAGAATATGGAGTAGAATTGGCATTTATTTAAAGAAAATAGATTAAAGCATGACAATGCAGTAGGGCAAGTATTGGCAAACTATCGCCCACAGGCAATGCAGCCTGCCAGCTATCTTACAAATAGGTTTTACTGGATGAATACTATGTAGATTGTCCATGGCTGCTTTCATGCTGTAATAGCAGAATTGAATACTTGGAAAAGAAACCACCTGACCTGCAAAGCCTAATATATTTACCATTTGACCATTTACAGAAAAAGTTTCCAGCCCTTATATTAAGCAAAGCCCTTTTTTATCTTTCTCCAGGTACCAGTCCCAAAGATAAAAATTTTAACCTGCCCCGACTTTGTATCCGAAAGTTCTTCCCAAAAACGAAATGCTTTATCTTTGATCGCCCCACTCATCGGAAGAAGCTAGGCCAACTGGAGACAATGCATGATGATCAGCTGGACCCCGAATTTGTGCAACAAGCTGCTGACTTCTGTTCCTACATCTTTAGCAATTCCAAAGTCAAAACTCTTTCAGGAGGCATCCAAGTCAATGGACCCCGTGAGTCCACTTCCCTGTCATTACTCTCACTGTTAAGGCTAAAGGAAGGTGGAATAGCATCCACCTAGTTTCAGCTTTGAAAAGTGCAAATATACTACTATTACTGTGATACATCTAGATGACAACACATTTCTAATATGGAGTAGATTTTATTAGTCAGATTTCGTGGGTGAGAAAAGATAGAAAAGGACAAATAAAGAAGCTCTATTGCTTAAAATTGCCCTAATAAGCTGGACTTGTACTATCCCATATGATAGCTACTAGACAAGTGTAGTAGCAACATTTATCTAAAATTACATGTAGATTAATGAGAGTTAAAGAAAATTAACAATTCTGATTACAGAATTGTTAGTGGCTCCAATATTGGACAGCACATATAGCACCCGACCATCATCACAGAAAGTTCTCTTGGACAGTGTTTAGCTAGCATAAATAAAATGGAGGATTCCTTTTTAAATTTGAGTATTTTAATCCTCACCCAAGGATGCTTTTCAATGAATTTGAGAGAGAGAGAGAAACATCGATGTGAGAGAGAAACATTAATCAGTTGCCTCCTGCATGCACCCCAACTGGGGATTGAATCCACAACCTAGGTGTATTCCCTGACCAGGGATTAACCTACAACTTTTTGGTGCATGGGACAATGCTCCAACCAACTGAGCCACCTGGCCAGGGCAGAGGACTTCTCTTTAATTGTTTCACAAATACTGATTTTATAAATGCTTACCACGAACCAGAACTGATGATAGAGACATAAATGAGAGGTACGTTTCCTATCCTAATGGTGCTTAGGGTAAAGCACATGCACTCAATAAACACAGGTCTATGGAGTCTAGAACAGAGGTTCTCACCCTTTGATATGTGTCCATATCACCCAAGATCTTGTCAGAAGAGGATTTAATTCAGTTGATCTGGAGCAAAATTTGAGAGTCTGCATTTCTAGAAAACTTCTAGGTGATGCTAAGGACACAGATGCTGTGAGCCAAATGAGTGTTGAGAGATACCATCAGATTTATAGAGGGTAGACTGTTTCCTCACCCCACCTACAACAAATGTTATCTTTTGTTCTCTATTTGTAGGGCTGGAGAGTCTGGTGCTGACCTATATCAATGCCATCAGCAGTGGGGACCTGCCCTGCATGGAGAATGCCATCCTGGCCTTGGCCCAGATAGAGAACTCGGCTGCAGTGAAAAAGGCCATTGCCCACTATGACCAGCAGATGGCCGAGAAGGTTGAACTGCCCACAGAAACCCTCCAAGAGCTCCTGGACCTGCACATGGCCAGTGAGAAAGAGGCCATTGAAGTCTTCATGAAGAATTCCTTCAAGGATGTAGACCATTTATTTCAAAAGGAATTAGCGGTAATTTTTCTCTTATGTGTATATGGATTAGGGTTTCAGAAAGCAAAGTACTACCAGAAAATAAAATGGGTATTTATCACAAGAGAAGGAATTCTTACTAGACTTCAAAATGACAAAAACCACTATTTGTTATTATTATATATGGTGTCCCAAAATTCACGCAAGATTTGCAATTGAATTGAAGAACCAATATTATTTTGGTTGACATAAAGTTTGCACTTTTTTTCCTATAATGCATAAACTAATCCTCTTTCTCATAATTTAGTTAAATGCATGCAGGTAATAATCAGAGCTTCTCATCAAGTTACAAGCTTGTTGGTACCAGACAGATTTAATATTATAACCAAAAGCAAAGAAAGGTGTAGTCTTAGTTATCTTGAGCAGGCTTATATTGAGACATATTTCTTCCATATACAATCGCTGGTCCAATTTGAAAAGCAGAAGTTTCTCTCTAAAGGTGTATTTGTAGGACTAGAGAACCTAGTCCTGACCTATGTCAATGCCATCAGCAGTGGGGACCTGCCCTGCATGGAGAACGCAGTCATGGCCTCGGCCCAGATAGAGAACTTGGCTGCAGTGCAAAAGGCCATGGCCCACTATGATGGGCATACAGGTAGCATAAATGCTAACATAAAGCCAGAAATCTCTGCCATGAACTTCATCTCCAAGAGAAAGGGTCTTCAACAGAAAGACAGGATCAGGAGGAAGGATGTGGTCCTGCTGAGGTGCCTGTTAGTTCCAAAAATCCGGAGGTCAAGCTAACATTTTCTCTGTACTCTTTCTACTTCCTATTTTCACATTAAAGGCCCACCTAGAAAAAAGGCGAGATGACTTTTATAAAGAGAATATGAAAGCATCATCGGATCGCTGCTCAGCTTTACTTAAGGATATCTTCCACTCTTTAGAAGAAGATATAAAGCAGGGGGTTTATTCTAAATCAGGAGGATATCGTCTCTTAATGCAGACTGTGCAGGAGCTGAAGAAAAAGTATCTTGAGGCACCAAAGAAGGGAATACAGGTAACATTTTTATCTGTCCCTCTGTTGCTCCTCTAAACCCCACACTTCCCTTCCTCCCAGTCTCCCTCCACCTCCTTTCCTTGGATCTGCTCTCTCCACGATGGCTTCATTCCTCACCCCATATGGGACCACAGCACCAACAGCTCCAAAAGTACAGACTTCACTCAGAGAACAGAGACTATCGATCTATATTTATATTTATATCAATCACTTACAAAGGTTTCTGCTTCATAGGGTGCTAGGCGTGGCTAACCTGGAGCATGTGCCCACCCTTGACAGGGGCCCCTTGACCAGCATAAGGACCAGGGCCAAGCGAAGCAATTCCTACCGGAAAAGATGGTGGGCAAATAGAAATAAGCGCCTCCTGTGATTTCCTATTACTAATGCCATTTTCTCTGGGTCCTAGAGTGAAGAAGTTCTTCACGCATACCTGAGCTCCAAGCAGTCTGTGATTGATGCAATTCTACAGACAGACCAGAATCTCACAGAAAAGGAAAAGGAGATCGAAGGTGAGGTGCAAGTCAAGAGACTAGATAGTCTCAACAGCTTTTAAAAGTTTAAATAATTTGGCTTTGAGAACCTGGTTTCCTTTCACAAGAGCCAGATGAGCAAACATGCCTATTACTAGCCAAAGTCAGTCTCAGTGGGGCATATGCAGTCAGCAGCAACAATAACAGATAAGTTCACCAAGAGGAAAAAGCAAGGTGGTCACCCACATGAATTTGTCTTCTTCCTTTCCTCCTGGCAGTGCAACGTGTGAAAGCTGAATCTGCAGAGGCTGCAGCAAAAATGCTGGAGGAGATGCAGAAGAAGAATCAGCAGATGATGGAGGAGAAAGAAAGGAGTTATCAGGAACATGTGAAACAATTGACTGAGAAGATGGAGCAGGAGAGGGCCGAGTTAAAGGCAGAGCAAGAGAGGGTTCTGGCTCTTAAACTTCAGGTATGTAATGACATCACTTAGAGGTTTCTCTTTTTCTGTTTTCTCTCCACTCTTCCTGACTTGTTTGTGTGTCTGTTAGAACACAAAACCCGGAAGGACCTTGCTTGCCCACTTATACTTTTCAATCCCTGTCTGTCTGCCTGACTTGGAGCCTGCCTATGTCTGGTTCTTAAAAATTTTTATTGTCCATTATCTCACATCCAGTCCTGTATCAATACAATAGAGTTCTGGTGCATGGATTCGTGCACATGTAGGGTCCCTCAGCCTGACCTGCACCGTCTCGCAATTTGGGACCCCTCAGGGAATGTCAGATTGCCGATTTCGACCTGATCCCCACAGATGGACTCCACCAGTGCACAAATCCATGCACCCGGCCTCTAGTATGCATATAAGAGCTTCGGTTAATCTCTTCCCACCCTATGCCCTTCCCCCTTTCCTCAGAGATTCATCAGTCTGTTCCATGTTTTCATGCCTGTTCATTGAGCGTCTGCCCCCTGTGCACGTCATAGCTACCAGATGAACAATCGAACATTCGAATGGTCATTTAGGCTTTTTTATATATATATATATATATATATATATATATATAGTATCCATATATATCATATATATCTAGAGGCCCAGTGCACAAAATTTAGTGCACAGGTAGGGTTCCTAGGCCTGGCCGAAGATCAGGGCCAATCAGGGCCTTTCTTCCAGCTGCCCGCAGGGAACTTCCCCTGCCTGCCATATGCCAGCTGGGCCCTTCCTTTGTTCTGCAACTCCCCCTGGTGGTCAGCACATATCATAGTGAGCAGTGGAACTCCCAGTCGGTCAAACTCCCAAGGGGACAACTTGCATATTAGCCTTTTATTATATAGGATTCTTCAATCAATAGTAACTATTATCTTCTAGGCATTCTAAATATGTATTGTCTGTATCTCTTGCTTAATATTGTATGAATCAAGAATTGCTGTGTACCTATACCTTAGGCAAAGATACAGAGTTTCAGAAAAGATGAGCTTTTATAGGGTCACACAGATCAGTAAGATATCTGAACCACCTTCAAACTTAGAGGAATCTACAATCACTGTTTTTCAGTCACACCTGGCATGACTTTGGTTCTAAGAGAACCTTTATGAGCAGAAAGACTCCTTGCCTCTCACACCTATGTCTGCCACTCCTAACTGCTATGCCCTACTTCTAGTTTGTGTAGTAGCTATGTACAGAAATCCAGTATAGACATTTAGGGGCCTTTATGTCCCTACTTATATCCTGCTATTCTTGCCACCAAACTGTGGAGGCTTAAATCAAATTCCCTGATCTAAGATTCAGACACTTCCTTTGATTTTGAGAATTTTTTATTTCTTTCATGTGTATGTATATAAAAGCTTAAGTGTGTGTGTGTGTGCGCGCACATGTGCGTGTGTATATAAGAGCCTATAAGATTTGAAAAGAAACATGATTAAGATTGCCCACATAGGTTGTATAGAATTAATGAGAATTTAAGTTTATCAATATATTAGAAGGTATAAGCCAAAATCTCTCTTAGCTAAAGGAGGCTCAAGATAAACAATCATGGAGCTAGGATGTCCAAGTAAAAGTATCCTATATAATAAAAGGCTAATATGCAAATTGTCCCCTCACCTGAGAGTTCAACCAGGAGTTCGACTGCTCACTATGGTGTGCACTGATCATCATGGGACATGGCAGGTGTTGGCGACCCAGTGCTGGTAGCGTGTGGCAGTGGAGTTGCTGCCGGCCCCAGTGGGCGGTGCCAGGCCTAGGCGAGTGCAAGTGGGGCCCGATCGCCCCACCAATCACCCTGCAGATGGCGACCAATGGCACTGAGGGAGCCCTGCGGGGACCGTTGACTCAGGGGGAGGGGATTATGCAGGGGCCCAGGGGCCCAGCTGCTTCCCAGGACCCAGAGGTCAGCTGGGACCTGCCCTTCCATATAAGACGCTAACGCTTCGATCACCAGCCAGGCCTACGAACCGCACCCGTGCTTGGATTTCATGCACTGGGCCTCTTGTAATGAATATTTATGTTGGAGAAAATTTCAAGAAGAAATTAAATACTCAAAAAAAGAACTATGAATGTGAAAACTAGCTAAAAGTTGAGATTTGCTTACTGATATACTTTATTTACTCTTTATTTGTCCTTTTTTAGGAACAGGCCTTGTTACTAAAGGAAGGATTCCAAAATGAGAGCAGACAACTTCAGAGAGAAATAGAGAGTCTCAAGAATAACATGGCAAGACGCAGAAACAAATGTATCATAAGCTAAAGAACGAAGTAAAAGAGATTCCCTGGTCACTCTACCCAAGGCATAACTCAAGCAGTTTTAGAAACTTGAAAAATGTCACAACTTGAGAAAACATGACCCTCTTTAAGCTGATAAAAGAAATCTACAAAAAACCCTTCACCTGACATACTTAATGATGAAAAACAAAATGCTTTGGTCCTAACATAGGAATAAAGCAAGGATGTGCAGTCTCTCCTCTCCAGTTAAACAGTATAATGAAAGGCCTCCTATAATAATGGAAAGAAAGGAAAGGAAGGAAGGAAGGAAGGAAGGAAGGAAGGAAGGAAGGAAGGAAGGAAGGAAGGAAGGGAGGAAGGGAAAGGAAGGGAGGGAGAAAGAAGTAAAGAAAAGGAAAGGAAGGAAAAAAGGATCAGAAAGGGTAAAATAAAACTGCCTTTATTCTTACACACTTTGATTATCCACATAGAAAAATCCCAGGGAATCAACACAAAAAAGGAAAAAACAGCAACAACAAAACTCTTGGCACAAATATGTGAGTTTAACAAGGTTGTAAGATTCAAGGTCAATACACAAAAATCCACTTTCAACTGTATTTTTATATAAAAGCAATGGACTATTGGAAACCAAAAATTAAAGAACAATACCACTTACAATAGCTGTTTTTTGAAAATGGGATACTTAGGTCGAAATATAACTAAACACACACATAATCTTCTATCTTCATTCTAAGACCAAAAGATTATGGGGTCGATCATGATGTATGAATTTCCTTAGATTCCAACTCCCTTGTAGTTTTTACAATGTTGCTTTTACTCATTGTAGAGAAAAAGATTCAAGACCCTTATTTTTAGAGTTATCCCTGACAAAAGCATGTGCCTAGTATTTGTTAAGTTTCGCTGAGCATTAAAAATATGTCAACTGTGGGGGGAGGGAGGGCAAAAGGGTATGGGGGGTATCAGAAAAAAGGGGGATAGCTGTAATACTATCAACAATAAAGATAAATTAAATATATGTATCTATTGTGTGTTAGGTTTTTATCCAGACAGAAAGAGGAAAATATATGGCTCAGAACTCAATGCCACATAATATGCCTACTACACACACACACACACACACACACACACACACACACACACATCCTACCCTTCCCACTCACTGTGAGTTTTTTTTTAATCTTTATTGTTCAGATTATTACATTTGTTCCTCTTTTTTCCCCCCATAACTCCCCTCCTTCCAGCTCCCACCCCACCCTCCACCCTCACTCCCCACCCACTGTGTTCATCCATAGGTGCATGATTTTTGTCCAGTCACTTCCTGCATCTCCCACACCCCTTTTCCCCCCAAGAATAGTCAGTCTATTCCCTTTCTATGTCCCTGATTCTATTATAATCACCAGTTCATTCTGTACATCAGGTTATTTATTCACTTGATTCTTAGATTCATTTGTTGATAGATGCATATTTGTTGTTCATAATTTGTATCTTTACCTTTTTCTTCTTCTTCCTCTTCTTAAAGGATACCTTTCAGCATTTCATATAATACTGGTTTGGCGGTGATGAACTCCTTTAGTTTTTCCTTATCTGTGAAGCTCTTTATCTGACCTTCAATTCTGAATGATAGCTTTGCTGGATAAAGTAATCTTGGTTGTAGGTTCTTGGTATTCAGCACTTTGAAAATTTCTTGCCATTCCCTTCTGGCCTGCAAAGTTTCTGTTGAGAAATCAGCTGACAGTCGTATGGGTATTCCCTTGTAGGTAATTGAGCCTCTTTCTCTTGCTGCTTTTAAGATTTTCTCTTTGTCTTTTGCTCTTGGCATTTTAATGATGATGTGTCTTGGTGTGGTCCTCTTTGGATTCCTTTTGTTTGGGGTTCTCTGCGCTTCTTGGACCTGTAAGTCCATTTCTTTCTCCAGGTGGGGGAAGTTTTCTGCCATTATTTCTTGAAATAGGTTTTCAATATCTTGCTGTCTCTCATCTTCTGGCACTCCAATAAATTCTGATATTAGACCGCTTAAAGCTGTCCCAGAGGCTCCTTACACTATCTTCACACTTTCGGATTTTTTTTTCATTTTGCTTTTCCAATTGGGTGTTTTTTTGTCGGAATCTTTGGGTTTCGATTCCTGGTGCTCCCTCTGGTCTGCTATTGGGTATAATCTTATTCAGTCCGTGTATGCTTACTTTCTAATTTCTTTATCATAGCATCGAGGGTCTCATTAGTTTTCGTGAGGCTCTGCACAAATTTATGGCAAGCCCTCAAAATTGCGATTCTTAGCTCCATATCCTCCATTTCTGTCATGTTTTTTTGTCTCCGCATCTTTTATGCTTTCTTGGTGCACCCCCTTGTGGTCTCTGTGCGCAGTCTTGTTCTAGCCAAGCCTTAATTGTTGTAGTTAACACTAGAGGGATTTGACCAGCAGACCTACTGGCTGTTGGAATCAGCTGTTTGGAAAGCGTCTGTCTTCTGGGGAGGCGCTAGTCCTGCCCTTGCCTGAGGCGATCGGCAAATGTCTGTGCGCAGGGCTTGGGCGGGGCGGGCTCAACAGGGCGGGGGGAGGGAGCAGCTATGGCCGCTCTCAGTCCGTCCCCAGGGGCTCTGCCTCTCTGTCCCAGCAATCGCTGCCATCCTAGGAGGGGCCGTAGCCAGACAGTCCCGCTTCTCCCGTTTGAGTCTGGGTCCCTAGAGACTCGCCCGGATCTGTAGCCCAGAGTCTGAGACTCACTCCTGAGTGAAAATGACAACCGCGCCCTCAGCCACCAGCCCGCTTTGCGCGCGCACCACCTCACCACCGCACCACCGTACCTTTAAATTTTCCACACTGCGCCTCCTCTGTGCGTCGGAATGCTGTTGTTTTTGCTTCTAGTTGAAGAGTCTCTCCTCAGCCAGCCTTCCTGTGGTTCTGGTTGATGTCCGTTCCGACTTTTAGTTGTATTTTTGAAGTGGTTGTTTACGGCGGCAGTCTCCTGTGTTTACCTATGCCGCCATCTTCGATTCTCCCCCCTCACTGTGAGTTTTTTAACAGACAGGATTTCATCAAACACAAGGCAGGAAAACTTACCCAGAGATGTTTTCCCCCAAAACTATGTACAAAACAGAATCCCTAGGGAGTTAGATGAGTCTTCATGAAAAGCAGCCATTGCTTGGTCTACAGGGATCATTCATTCAAAAAACATTGGTTGAGTACCTATCACATTCTGCCAAGGAGTGGGAATATAGTTGTGGTCCCTCTCTTAAGGAGCTCATAGTCTAGTGGTGAAGACAGAGATTAAATAATACAGAAAACTAATGCCCAAGAAATTGAAAGGAGAGGATTACTGATTTAGGAAGGAGTTTCTCTAATCCCTCTACCCCAACATATCTCAGATGGCTCCTTAGTATGTTTTAACCATATTTCCTTTATCAGTAAATTAGTGGAAAAAAGAAATCCAATTTGGGAGGGAGAGATAGAGAGACAGTGCCTATCACCTGTCCCCAGAAAACCTATTTAATTAACAGTGTGTCATGCTCACAGTGTCTCTTGGAGTTGATTGGTAAGGAAATGAAGAAATGAAGAAAGGAATGGGTTCTATCTAGTGGCCAATATTATTACTCTTCACAGTACTTTATCACTACCTTTTGTCACCAGAGTTTGTTCATGTTTATTGTTTGTCTCCCCAACTAGAATACAAGTGGGCAGGAACATTACCTATTTTGTATATCATGGACTCAGCCATCTAGAAGGGCTCCTGGAACCCACAATAAAAATTTTTAAACACACGTGTAAACAAATTAATGAATATTTTATCATCCCAGCACCATTCCTCATGCTTCTACCTGAAAGTTTAACATTTGATTGTTTAATATCATATTGAATATCAGAGGAATTGGATAGTTATGTAAATCCTGTACTATTTATATTACAGTCTTCTCGCTCTCCCTCTCTATCTCCATAAAGTATTTCTTCATTATTCCTTCTTTATAGACCTACAGAACCTAGTGTTGATTTACGTTCCTGCTCTGGGGACCTAGTTGACAGAAAGCATGTTGTGCTACCAGCAGCAGTGCTAAAAGGACATTGCACACTAGGACAAATTGGAGGAGCAAAGGGCAGTCCCCACTGAAACCCTCCAGGAGCTGAGAGCCTGCAGGAAGCCTTAGGAGAGGGGCCTCTAAAAGCTTTAGAGCTCCGTCCTGCATGTGAACCAGGAATTCCGGAGGCGAAGCCACACTGAGAGAGGAAACATTCCCTTCCTGAGAAGGGCAGTTCCTACCAGGTTCTAACAGGGATTCTCACCTGTGCAGTGACATATTCAAACACTATTAGCCATAAGCCATACACCAAGTCCACGCCTTTTTAAAAATTGTGAAAAATTTCTTACTGACTCAAGTAACCACTGCTAATATTAAATTGCTGTAAGTCCAGTCAAATGTGCATGTGGATAGACAGACAGGAAGGCAGGCAGATAGATTAATAGATACATAGTTACCCTGGGCAGCCTTTCTGTGGTTAAATGTACAATGTCTATTATGATATTTGAAATATATAACATGTACAGCTATTATTGCCTGGTTGGAAAGCATCAATTTACTTTCATAATACATACAAAAAAATCTTGCATTTAAAATAACTATATGAGGTTGAAAAATGGACATAACTCTTTTTTGATAAATATAATTGTATATATTTAATATGTGAAGTATGATTTTATTTCTGTATTATTTTTAAATGTTTTTATTGATATTTAGACAGAGAAGAGAAGAAAGGGATAGAGAGATAGAAACATCAATGATAGAGATACATAGATTGGCTGCCTACTTTGGATTGAACCCGCAACCCAGACATGTGGCTTCACCAGGAATCAATATGATGATTTCTTGGTTCATGGGTTGTTTTGGAGGGAGTTGGTGGGGTGATAAAAATTTCTCATAGGTTATACTGATGGTTACACAAATACATATAAAACCATTACATTGTACCTTTTGAATTTGTGAATTGTATGGCATATGATCTATATCCCAATAAACCAGTCTGGTTGAGTTTTTTTAAGAAGGTTATATAACCTGCACTCATGTGGTGGTGGTGATTTAGTCAATCTTGTCATCTTCTGAGGCCTCCTTTTTTCTCTCTAAGACTTTTTCTTTTTAATCTATTTCCAATTCCTAAGTACCATTCATTATTATGTACAGCAGTATAGGTGACCAGGTGACTAGTCCATTATTCCAAACCAGGTTTCTGTCCTCCCTTTGTATATTCAACAACTCTTTAATATATTCTGCTGAACAAAGGTCACCTTCTAGGTATCATCACTATAGACAACCTTCCCAAACTAGCACACCCCAGCATGCACAGTGTAAGGCTCATCCCTGAGTCCGTGCTGGATTCAATCAGAATCTTTGGTGAACTGAGCAAAAGGAATGGGATATGAATGGCAGACAGAACTGTGAGACCTTGGTGCTGTATGTAAATTTTATTCACCTGTAAAAACCCCTTGCAGTCCTGTGTCTGTTCTAATAGAAAGGTGTACCTACTTAATCGGGTACATTATTTTTCCTCCAAAGCCAAGGGATTAAGAGATGACTTATCCTATCTAATAATAGACAAACATGGTAGTTAACCATAACTTCGCTACCCTTCCCATTGGCTAATCAGGGCGATATGCAAATTAACTGCCAACAAAGATGGCGGTTAATGGCCAGCAAAGATGGCGGCTAATTTGCATACATAGGCCAATGATGGGAGGCAAAAGGGGAAAGATGGGAAGAATGGTGGCAGGCAAGAGCTGGGGGGCGGTGATCGCCATCGGAAAGCCTGGCAGCAGGCCAGGCGACACCCCCCGACCGGGGTGCCAGTGATCGCCATGGCGATCCGAGGAAGAGAGAGCCAGGGTGCAGGACCCCCGGGGCCAGGGGTGCTGGCTGTCATGCGGCCCCCTGATCTGCGATGGCGAAAGGAGGGGTGGGGCCCCAGGCACGGTGGCACTCCGGGCACTGGGTGCCACTGTGCCTGCGGTCCCCTGAT